GTCGCCCTACTACGTGTATCTAGTAGTTTGACTGACTAACACCGCGTGCGATACGCCACGGTACAAAGTCCAGCAAGTGCCGCACGTCCATCTACGACCCGCCGCAAATATACGTTAAGTAATCTCCGTGACACCGCACGTTACGGATCGTCTACTTATTACGCCTTACCAACCCGCGGCGCCTACGATATTACCGACGGTTTTTATTAAATATTAAGTATATTGTATATTTTATTTCTTATTTTGTTCTTGTTTGTGACTATTTTCTGAAGAAACAATATACGGCTTCACGCCACTTTGTAATAAAACAAATCCTGTTCGTTCTTCATTTGGTGGTGCTCTACGACGATAGTGGTTACATAGTTAATCATAATTTTTGATACTTGAAAAAAAACTTCCTCCTTTATACATTCGATAAATACCGCAAAACCACATTTTTGTGACATGTAAGCTTTTGGACATAAGCATGACCGTATTTAAGAATTGTACTACTTACTCTCTTTTCTTTATTCCACTTTTGTATTTGGACTAATTTTGAAATTACATATACGTTATACTTAATAAATCTATCAATTTCAATACTACCATCAGTTCTTCATCTATCTTATTCATGGAAACATTTAATAATCTGCAAACCATACTATTAAAAGCTGCATTTTGTGTTGACAGGTGTGATACACATTGTTCAGAATGTACCTGAACCTATATGGGTTTCTCCGTTAAATTTCAAATTTAGTCCCCTCCTACTCTTTTAAACAATAATCCAACCTATAATTTAACCTATATTTATAATCATAGTACATTATTGACAATTTTTAATATATTTTTGTAAGGTTAAAAACACCTTAAAATAAATAAAAAGTTTAAAAATCATAAGAATCCTTTAATTAATTAATTTTTTTAGATAAATACATAAGTAAAATAATAAAAAGGGATATACTGGATAGTTACGGTAATGCCATTGATAGTATATTATTTACTTGTGGAATTTCGAATAAAATAGGATATTCACCTATTCAAGTAAATTGAACTATTTTCAGCTAATACTTTTATCTATAATTTAAGCTACATAGAAATGAATTATTCATTTTTATTAGTGAATGCTTTCTTATTATAAAATAACTATTAATATTCTATTTCATTTTTTTTTTTTGTAATTTCTATGATAATAAATCATTATGTAATTATTTTTAATTCAAATTATCATAAAAAATATAATTAAAAATTAAACTGAAATTTTATTTTATAAAATTAGATTTATATATTTACAATTTTTTTAATATATATGAACATTATGAAGAATAAAAACTCCTAAAATTAATTACATATAAAATAATTATAATTTTTTACAAAAATATGTATGTCTTTAAAGATAAAGAATCTAGTTTATGGAATTAAAAATCCCAGTTTTATACATTATGCGGCAACTGCTATCATAGTTTTGTAAGTAGAATATTCTTCTAATATAATTTTATATATTTAGTAAACGGTAAATTTCAAGTTATTTTACATATTTTGTTGAAAAAATAAAAATAAGTAACAGCTCCAGTTACTAAATACTCGTCAATAAGTTAATTGTATCAATATTACTTGAAACTATAATTTTCTAGTGTCAAAGTTCAATAATTTTGTAAACTTGTGATGTATTATTTTAATGGCTAAATTGTAATTTTTCCATTGACATAATTGAATATTTCATATAATGAAATAATTAAGTTTTTCGTATTGAAATCTTATGGCCCTAATTACTTATAATTATCAAATGATGATTGATTAATAATGATAATTAAGAAAACGAGTGTCTCTTTTCTTAGAAACTTTGAAAATTAAAATTTTTGTAAAGGAATAAATTGTTTTACTCGATAAACTTTATAATAATATAAATTTAATTATATTTCAACCCTTCATAGTTAAACATCTGAGCTTGAATGCGAACTTCCATATTTATTTACATGATATGGTAGAAAAAATGTTCAAATAATATTTTTTAATTATTCTTCTATTAATGCTTGCTAAAGTTGCGATTTTAAACTAATTTTCTATTAATAATTTGCTGTTAGACATACTGTAGTTGTCATATTTTTATGATATCAAATAAACAATTAAGAAATGAAAATCAAATTTATGATGAATTTTTAATTTAAATCCAAATCCTTAAATAAACTTCAAATGTAATTGGTTGTTGTTTAAACAAAAAAGATTATTACAACAAAGTTGTTTGTATTTTTTTTTGTATCATATCATAAAAATAAAATAATTTTTGTGGAGAGATTATAAAGTTAAAAAGAAAAAAGTTGTTAGTATAATGTATTAGTTACAGGAAAATGAATAATAAAACTATTTTTTATTTTTAAAATGATAGTGTAGACATATAATTGATTATATGATTAGTAGTACTTTACTACTAGAAAATTAATTTGCCGATGGTTCATTATTATTTAAATAGAAAACATTTTTTTACGTCAAATAAAAATTTTTCATAGTATAACACAGCAAATGATGTGTTAAAAACATGGTGTGCAACTCTATATACATTTTTTTTATTATTAAGTTGTATAAATAATGATGTTAGATACATTTAGTGGTTGAGGCGAAATATTCACGGATATCGATGGTCTTCAAAAACATTGCAAAAATAATTTGAATCATAAGCTAACAATTTATTGCACTGTAGGAAAACCTAAAAAAAAGTGTTTTCGAATACATAGTACAGACTTAAATATGGTAAAATTACAAAAAAAAAAAAAACCCAACACAGGGGGGTTGTGATACAGTGGTGACGTAGCATAGTTTGGTCAAGTATAATGATATCTGACAGTGATTAAAATCACTATCAAAATAAAACGCTTCGATGCAAATCTTTAGATAGTGTTTAATTTTAAAAAATTAGTGGATTATTCCAAAAGCTACATGATGTGCTATTTCTTTATTTATATTATTATTAAGGCAAAGTATGTCTAATGAAAGAGGGATATAAATATTATTTCTCATAAAAAAATTGTGTTGATTCATACATTTTTTAAAAAGTTATAGCATTTTAAAGTCAAAAATGTAAAATATAAAATCGAGAATTTTCACTCAAAAATAGCATTCGGTAGCCATTTTCACTGTGAAGACAAAATAAAGTCCAAAATTTTTTTTTTTCATAATAAAGTATATTACATAAGCTTTAATTTAAGGTATATATAAAAGTGTCAGACATTCTGAAACAATTTCAAAAGTTAAGTTGAAAAAATTCTACTTTTTATGTGCATTTTTCAGATTTGAACCACTCCCCGCGTATATACTTTCGGGTAACTACGTCATTTTAAGTTTTTTAATTTTTTTTTATCAATTATATACAAATTTAAAATATCTATTATGAATGAATTTCATCGAAATAGTTTTGGCTCACAATAATTGTTCAAATATTATTTATTAATAGGTGTTGGTGGCATGTGTTTTGGTAATTATTCAATTAAATTTATCAGGGATAAAATTTATAAATAATTTTTAATGGATATTCTAATGGTGAGCTATAAGATGTTAATATAAAAATAATGCTGTTATAAATAGAAGAATAGTAGACATCGATTAGCCAATTTTATAAGTCTTCTTTTTTTATTTCATATCTTAGAAAATGTTTAACTAGGATGCAACAAAAACTTAATTTGTTTCGTGAAAACTATCTTAAAAATAAAATTAATTTAAGGTTCCTTCACTGAAGTAATTTTATTAATTATTTAAGAAACTTAGAAATATGGACATCAGTTATAGAAATTTTTCCTAGTCTATTTCCATTATTCACCTCAATGTTCAAATTTCTAACAGTATCGGTTACACTTTTATAAAATAATTTAAATTACTCTTATTATTAATAATTATAAATAAATAATGTGAATATATTATAAAATATACTAAAAGGTAATATAGAATATAGATTAAAAAGGAAAATAGAATTAATATAAAATATAGGGTTGAGAGGAAATATGGAATTTATGTACAATTGTTTAGGATTGTAGGGGAATATTTGGAGTGTTAAATATTTTAAACTTATTTAATTTTTTTAGATTAATTTTATTAATTGGTTTATTACGCAATAGATTGTTGGAGGTTCGAAAACATAGGTTAAATTGTACTTACCCTTACGTCCTATATAATGCAATAATTATTCAAGTAATCCGATGTTTATTTTAGTATTAAATGCACTACGTATACAATTTACACTATACGCCATATAGTCAATAAAATTACTTACAAAAAACAATTCAAATTTTAAATAATATGATTTAATAATACAAAGTCTATGACTGATCTTACTTGTAAAAGATTCTAAACACTCTATATTTTATTAAAAATATAATTATAATCTGTCCTTATTAAATTTTTCACGTTTGTTGAATAAGTATTTTTTTTTGAGAGAGTATATTTTATTGAGAGATCGACACCAATATTTCTTAAATCTTCCTACGGCCTGACCAAAACAAGATTCAAAAATATTTATATCTATGTAAAAAGTTTATTAAGGCGTAAATGTGGTGGCCCATAGTGTCGTAGCCCAATTACGTTTGTTCATACAAATTAAGGATAAAGCTTTATTTTGGATTGTTAATAAATGGCTGTTGGAGAGTAGTTTGAGTCAAACAGTATACCTAGTTGAGTAGAAGTGGAGAAATGTGATCACGTTGGGAAACAGATATTTTTTCACCCTTTAATCGTACAAATGATTTTAACATATCCTTGTGAAAAATTTTGAATTCAAATAGATTAAAGATTTTAGATTATATATTTGTTATAGAGTTAATCAAATGGTAAATTTTTTATTTTTTCATCGAAAAATAAATACTTTTTTCAGTACAGATAATACGAAGTTATTTTAATACTAAAATAGTTTTCAATAAATTTATAAGTGCACAATAAAATGAATATCATTAAACAAATATCAATATATTCAATATTTATTTTACTTTTTCGAGTATACAATTAATTTTTAATTTCAAAAATTTATTTTAACCTTTATGTGAAATATCTCTTGGATAAATTATATATCGAAAATTTTTGAGAATACATAGAATTATCATAACTAATTGTGAAATTACACTTACACAGAGAATGAATTTTTTACACTGTATTGTTAAATGCCATAACGAAAATTAAATAATTCGTAGTATCTGCCTTCGTTGTCTAATGGTAAATAGAACATATTTCCGTAATTCAAAATAAAGTAGGTACTAAAAAGTTAATAGTTACAAAAATAAAAATCAATAAGAAATACACAATTATTAAATCATCATTGAATTTTCTTCTGCTTTAATTTCTTCATTGTATTCATTATCTATTTCTTCTTCGTAATCGGAGAAATTTTCAGCCTGAGCATTTTCTTCTCTTGTTTCTCGTGCCAACCATAATTTTATTTCACCATCCATTTCCTCAAAATCATGTGGGAAAAATTTAATAGCATCATCAATACCTATATTTTCGTCTGAACTAACATAAACTGGACCGACGTCTACAAATCTTAATAAATACTTGTCCTTATCATCTTTAAGAACAGATATTACTAGTTTAGCATCTTTCCTGAAAATGAATAAATAAAAAAAAATATTGTTTTAAATTGAAACATATGAAGTATAGGTACACGTGTTTTATGCATATAAAAATACGAAAATATGTATTACAGTTTTGCAAAATTTTAAAAGGTAAAGTGGGAGGAGGTAGATATAATGGTATCTTACCAAAATTAATTTTAGCTTCAATTAATATATTAGTAATAGTACTAATTCATTTTACTGTAGAAATTAATTATATTATTTAATTTAACTTTAAATGTAATTTTTTTGTAAAATTGATCCTCAATTAATCTTGTATTAGTTTTAAATTATTAATTTTATTATAATTGTGTTTTACTGTATAATTTCTATATTATTTCTATGTAGGGTCTTTATGTTACCGTCAACCACCCTACAGAGAGATAATTTAAAATTTACAATATTGTTATACCCAACTCGGTCCATTCCATAACTTGCAAGTAACTCTGGATCTTTACAAAGTAATTTTGGATTTTCTGGATCAGCACTCCGGAAAAACCCATAATTTAATATTTTGTCTTCTAGATCCTCAACAATTGGAAGAACAATGTTCGACTTAGTAATATCAAATATAACGAGAAACTACAAAAATTAAAAATACAAATAATGTTACATGCAATGTACAATTGAATTATATAGAAGGGAGAATTTTCTAGTTATTATAATGGAACGGCACCATAAAGAACTCTTTATTTATTTATTTGAAATTTTTACGAAAATTAATCAATAAGGTAAACCTTTTAAAATTTATGAAAATAATTGTTTCATTTCGTAATTCTTATGAAGTTACCTTGGCTTTGGTGAATAATTTCCTAAACCATAGCACCAATTGTATGAAATAATTAATACCTCTGATTATTTTGATCATATGAATTGTTTAAGTTTGTACTTATTTAGTGTTTTAAATTCAAAAAATAAATTTTATTAAAAAGTTAAATATATGAATGTGTTAAAGCTTTCATGGATTGTCATGCTGCTTGAAGTACTTAAGGACAGAACATACGAAGAGGATACAAAAAAAACTTGTAGACGTTAGGGAAATCTTAGAGAAAAGCTAAGCTTATATCAGATCTGACTTTTATGAAGAGATACAGAGATAAAGGAATAATACCACAATGCGTTGTCATTAATCATCCGATAAAAAACACAGATGCAACAAAAATTTTAGAAACAGGCAGTCAAAAACAATTACGGAATGAAATCGTGTGCAACAGAAGGAAACTGGCTAACATCGATAATGACCTATCTGAAGTCAAAAACAAACTGAACACGGAACTTGAACAAGACACTCTATCGATATTAACAAATATGGTCGAAGAGAAGCAGTCTTACCGAAGCGAAACTACAACAAAGATAAGTCAACTGCACTCAAAAATTTAAGGAACAACAATGTCATAATACTAAGAGCAGATAAAGAGAATGCCACAGTAATCACGAACATCACGTACTATAATAAAAAGATGAAAAAATCATCGAAAGAAGGACCGAAATCATAAAAAGAAATCCACCGAACCGAATAATCAAAGTAATTAATGATGAAATAAAAAAAGCAATACTAGATGACAATGATCGAAAACGACTACTAGTGACAGTTCTAAAATTACCAACAATATACGGATTCCCAAAATACACAAGAATGATGTGCTGCTCAGACCTACGGTCAGTACCATAATCTCGTTGACATACGACTTAGAAAGTCGTCACTTAACGAAAATTCTGAAAATAATCACTGAAAAAACGTCTTCTTATGTGAAAAACTCGACGGACTTTGTGAAAAAACTACGACAAATGACCTGGGAAGAAGGAGACGTTTTCGTTAGCTTCAATGACGCACCGAATATTATAAAAGGGAAAAAAAAAATAGACGAAAAACTACGAGGTTTATCGGAAATATGAGCCAAAACAACAGTTTTCACATNATAAAAAGATGAAAAAATCATCGAAAGAAGGACCGAAATCATAAAAAGAAATCCACCGAACCGAATAATCAAAGTAATTAATGATGAAATAAAAAAAGCAATACTAGATGACAATGATCGAAAACGACTACTAGTGACAGTTCTAAAATTACCAACAATATACGGATTCCCAAAATACACAAGAATGATGTGCTGCTCAGACATACGGTCAGTACCATAATCTCGTTGACATACGACTTAGAAAGTCGTCACTTAACGAAAATTCTGAAAATAATCACTGAAAAAACGTCTTCTTATGTGAAAAACTCGACGGACTTTGTGAAAAAACTACGACAAATGACCTGGGAAGAAGGAGACGTTTTCGTTAGCTTCAATGACGCACCGAATATTATAAAAGGGAAAAAAAAAAATAGACGAAAAACTACGAGGTTTATCGGAAATATGAGCCAAAACAACAGTTTTCACATACCCAGACACCGTCTACGAACAAACCGATGGAATGTCAAGTGAAAAATATCTCAAATGAAATGTTCACAACGAGATNGCCTGTGTCTCCTTTAGGCAATTAAAACTCATTTAAGGAGATAGGGACGATATTTGGGCAGACGTCGGGTAGCTTCCGATTCTTGGTAATGACCAAGATCCTCAACTATTAAACAAGCCCCTAACAATACCCAGACACCGTCTACGAACAAACCGATGGAATGTCAAGTGAAAAATATCTCAAATGAATTGTTCACAACGAGACGACCATCAAATTTCATTGACGATCGAATCAAAACTAAAATTATAATAATATGAATTTATAAGGAATATTTTCTCAAGAAAAAGTTGCTCGAACACCGCAAAATTATAATTTAGATTACTGATTTGAAGGGGAAACAATGAGCACGTATACTCAAAAAACAAAAATTTGGCTGCGATATGTAGATGACACATTCGTTTAATGGCAACATGACGTTGACAAACTACAATCTTTCCTGCAATATTTAAACAGCACACAGTTCACAATGGAAACCGAGCAAAACGGAAAATTGCCATTCCTGGATTTAATGGTAAAAAACAGCCTTGTGGAAAATTTGGCACAGGAGTGTACAGAAAAACTACACATACAAATTGTTATTACATGCCGATTCACTACTGTCCGTCACAGAAAATGGGATTATTACACACAATGGCAACAAGAGCCGTCAGAATCAGCTGAAAAAGTCCGTGTANTCTTTCCTGCAATATTTAAACAGCACACAGTTCACAATGGAAACCGAGCAAAACGGAAAATTGCCATTCCTGGATTTAATGGTGAAAAACAGCCTTGTGGAAAATTTGGCACAGGAGTGTACAGAAAAACTACACATATAAATTGTTATTACATGCCGATTCACACTACTGTCCGTCACAGAAAATGGGATTATTACACACAATGGCAACAAGAGCCGTCAGAATCAGCTGAAAAAGTCCGTGTAAATGAGGAAAAAACATATTTACAACAAGCACTACAGAATAATGGATATACAATTAAAAAAATATTAATAAAGCAATTAGGAAAGCAGAGAAAAGAAAAAATGCAACGTGTAACAATGATTACGAAAACTATGAAGATGAAAAGAAAGGAACATTAATACTGCCGTACATATAGGGAATTATCGACCGAATATCAAGAATCGCACAAAAATTCAAATTAAAAACCCAGTTCAAACCAAACACAGTTGCATGATCACTACTCCGAAACCCGTAAGATAAACTGCCAAAGATGCAAACACCAGTAGTATATGAAATACTGTGTTCATGTGGTAAATCTTACATTGGACAAAGAGGAAGAGCAATTGCCACAAGAATAATAGAACATGAAAAAGATGCGAAGTACCAAAGGACAGAAAAATCTGCAGTAGCTGAACATGCCAAAAACAGAGGACATGACATCCAATTTGATCAAGTAAAATTACTAAACAAAGAAACTTATTTTGGCAAACGGATGTACAAGGAGCAATAGAAATAGAAAAATGTCCAGAAAATTTTCGCAGAAAAGATAGATGGAAAATCAGCAAATTTTGGTTACCTATCATACATCACACAAAAAGAAAAACGACCAATAACACCGAAAATAATTCAATATGCCAAGAGGCTACAATCAACGTAACAGACAATTGCAAAAAGGAAAGGAAGACCGAAGTGTCAAGAATGCCGTAAACAACAAAGTTAGTCGAAAACCGAAATGTCGTCAGCAACATTAGTAAAAACCCGGATACGGCTAACAACGTTAGTCAAAAACCAAATGTTATAAATTGTATAAAAGCAAACTGTTATCAAGATAAGCCGCCAGTATAGTTGCAGCCACCGCCTAGCAACCATCACTCTGAAGATGGACTCTGCAATGAGTCCGAAACGTCAGAACTCAATTGTAAACATGGACAAACCTTAAGCACTTCAAGCAAGTAAAATATATTTCTATTATTATTTAAGTATTTTAACAAAAATTAAACAATTCTGTTTGTTGTAAAATATAATGTTAAATATACAGTTAAATAACCTGAGGAGCTGGCGATTGAGGTGGTATGTATCCGTTAGTTTCACAGTATTTTCTAAACAGAACAGTTAGAGCAGCTGTTTTACTCATTGGATTGATTGGTGTATATAAAGATGGTAATATAACTCCTTCTTCAGTCAGTGCTTTGTTTTGAGCTGCAATCCTTTAAATAGAAAAAAAATACTTTTTAATAATTATAAATCAGGTAATGAAAAATTGGCTCACGAGTTGGGACTTGGATTCAAAGCACCCCCCTCTCCATAAATTATTAAACTCATTCGACTCTCGATTACTCCCATTATGTCTGGTGGTTCAATATCTGTTTCATCTTCTTCGTTTTCATAAACAACAGTAGGTGATGATATCATTATTGAATAAACTTTGTTACTTAAAATTTGATCAATGAGTTCTTGAGGATAGCTTTGAAGTATTTGTAAATCTAAGAAAAATATCTAGAACGTCCGAAAATATTTTTGAGGATTAAATGTTATAAATTCTTTTATACTTGTATTTCATTTAATCAAACAAAATATTTACCTCATTTAAAGTGTCTTCAGTTAGTTGTACTTCTTTTGCATCGATAACAATGAGCTCTTCGAACTTGCGTGCACATACTGTAGCTAAATCACATATTCGTTGCTCATGCATAATTGGTTCATCTAGTGTTTCCATTCCATCCTCTGGAGACTTTTCTACCATTACGTATTTAATAGTGTGTGGAAAGAATATAACACAAGTTTGTTTTTGAATGTTAGGTACAAACTTTTTGATTGCGTGTTCTCTTATTTTCACCATTCTCTCAGCTGAAATGATTTTAAATTTAATCAATTACTAAATACTAAAATTTCATTTTCAAAAATGTTATAATATAATAAAATAAGGAAAAAAATGGCTCTTCTGGAAATTGTGTAGCGTGCTTGTATTCAACATTTTTTTTGCCAACAAAAGACTTGGTCGCGTAACTTGGGAGAAATTATTGAAAATTTTATCCAAAACCGCTCAGAAATATTTCTGAGGTATTATAATAAAAAAAATTCAATTTGTTCGGAGAGTTTTTTTATTTTAGAAACTCGAGATGAATTCTGAATTGCACCTTACATGTGGTTCTATGGTGTTGAGGCCAAAGGAGATAAGCGAAATATTGCAATTTTTTGAAAAATTTATTGATTATTTAATTCATTAGATATTAATAATAGATGGTCATGTAAAACTCATGTACACACTGAATTATACAAATGAATACTAGTAACATTTAAAAACTCTAAAAGGGAATAAAGCCTATAGGGGTTCAATAATCGAATGATATGCGTTTATTTGAAATTCGAGTCACGAGAAGAATGTATAATATACATTGTATATAGAATGAAAAACGAGTCATAAAAAACAAATCATAAACAAAAATGACGAACGCTAGATGTGGAAGGTAAGACGTGCGAAACACGTTTAAATCGGTCATACACGAGCGCCACGGTGACGCGAAGACGGGTATAGAAGATTGCCACTCTCTACCCAACAAGACCATCGTAAAATCGTAGAATAAATTGAAAAAATGGATTTATTTTTGTGTAAAAAGTAAAAAGGGACATTTATTGGTAAAGACTAAAATGTTACGCATTAAAGATCTATATTGATATATTCTTATTGATGTATCTTTATAAATACTCGACCAACCATCAAATTTTACCATCTACACTAATTTTTTAAATTTTTATCACAATGTCATTGTAATATAATAACATAAGCTGTTTATACGGCGTTATATACATAATAAATAAAACAAACAGTTGGAAACGCTAGGCAATGTAGCAATTCTCATCGTGTTTTTCATAAGCATAACTTTTAAAAAAAGACATGAAATACGAGATATTACACAAAAGTATTTAGACTTTCTATATATAAGCTCAACTATTAGTTATCTATAAAGCGATTATTGAAATATGATTAAGAAACTTATCTGTGAATATTAATATTTGATAAAATAATATCTATGAATATCGCTATGAATATTAATAAAATCAGTTTAATGATGTCAGTTTATTACACGATATTTGAGTGTATTTGATTGTGTTTGTGGATATATGTTAGATTCAAAAACCGAACAATTTGTTAATGTTAAATTTCTTGTTAAGTTAAAAAAACTACTGCGGAATGTTAAATTTAAAAAATAAAAATCTTAAAAGATGATCCGTATATTTTAAATAATATTATTACGTGTAACGAAACATGGATTTTCTTCCATATATTGGAANCAATTTGTTAATGTTAAATTTCTTGTTAAGTTAAAAAAACTACTGCGGAATGTTAAATTTAAAAAATAAAAATCTTAAAAGATAATCCGTATATTTTAAATAATATTATTACGTGTAACGAAACATGGATTTTCTTCCATATATTGGAATAAAGGAAGCTTGAATAAGTAATTAAAAATTGAAAACATTACTCATGGTTCTTTTTGACATTAAGGGAATAATTTTAGTTGGTTGGGTTCCTAGTAGACGTACAATAAACCAATAATATTACAAAGAGGTATTGACACGGCACCGCCTTTTGCTCTAGGCTGGCGCTCACCCGTGTCTCTCTCGATATCAGCCGTCCAGCTATTAATATGACAATCGGTTGTCATCGGTCGTCACCCCGCCCTTGACACTGAGATAAGGCCGCCGCCGAATATGGATTACCGATATTGCGTCCTGTTCCGTTTTCGACGTACACCTCGACTGGTGGATTAATTTTGGTGCTGTCTGTTTCGTTTTCGGCGTACACCTGAAGTGGTATATTTTTCTGTGGTTCTTTTTCTTTTCGTTTTGCTTTGACGTACATAGTTCAGGCGAACACGACTACGGCGTTTAGATAGATATATTTATATATATATATATCGTTGTAATTAATCGTGCGCCCTATTTGGATTACGCATCATCTTGTGATAACTGTATTTATACTTATATATATATATACTTTTGAATTAATTGTGCGCCCCCTTCTGGATTACGTAATAGTATTAATTAAAAATTGAGAGAATTTGTTAGAAAAAAGAGACCAGATCTATAGAAGCTGGGTTCATCACTAAAACGATGCTTCAGCTCACAGTAAATTTTGAGTTTTAAGTTTCTTGACTAAAAAAAATATTTCTATACTTCAACATCTCCCCTATTCACTAAAACTAGCTCATTGTGACTTTTTATTTCCGAAAATTTAAAGTTCATTAAAAGGAACAAATTTTCATGGTTGGTTGATGATGTAAAAACGAAAACGACAGAACTTTTAAAAGAGCTTACCGAAAGCGATCGGAGGCACTGTTTTCGAAAATGGTAGCGACTCGTGGAACGGTGGGTAGTTCCTGAGGTGAGCTACTTTGAAGGCGATAATCATTAAATTGTATAATTTTAAAAATAAACCACATTTTTTTCAAAAGACTGATTGTATTTGTGTTACATATAGTTAAAAAAGTTACAAAGTTAAAAAAATCAGTCGAGAACACATGTTGGCCAAGTCTTTGGGTTGATTTTATTACGAAATATATATCCTCTTTATCACAATAATTATTGTACAAAATAAGACGCGCTAGATATAAATTAAAAATTACATTTTTTACCTCGAATACGTTTTTCTTCTTTGAATATTTGCTCGTAATATTGATTTTTGTCAACCATTTTTCTATTTTCTTCTTCAGTAATTTGATTAAAAGGAATCTAATAAAATATCAGTACATAAATTTAATTTTTTTTGAAGAAGAAGAACCACTACAATTTAAACAATTATAGTTTTACTTACAAAAGTTGGTTGTATTTCACCTTTTTTAAATTTGTTATAATTTTCAAATTCTATTGCAATTAATTTCATTAACTTAGGGGCATTTGTATCAATAATTAAATTAACCAAACATCCGTCCTTAAAAAAATTATTTTTAAAAATTAAAAAGAAAAAAAATGAAATTGATATGTAGATTTTCTTGATTTATTGAATGAGTGGAGAAGTATCATATATGTGTGTATATTTCTACATATATTATAGTTACAATGCCTAATTAAAAAGGTATAAATTTTACTTAGTAAATGTTATAGGTGTTACAATTTCTCAGATTTGACTGAACTGATTTTGTTTAATTTTATGACATAAAAAAGATTACTAGAGATAAATGAAAAAAACAGTTCTTTAATTAAAAAAAAAAAATTATAATTTTGTCATATAATAAACAATCCAGCACAGCGGTCTCGTGACATAGTTGCGCGAAGTATAATGATATCTGACAGTGATTGTGATTTATGACAGAATCATAATTCATGTCATAAAGACGATTTGGTGCATATCTTTATATAGTGTTTAATTTTAAAAATTGTTGGATTATTCCAAAAGCTACATGATGTGATATTTCCTTATTTATACCTCGATTGAGATAAAGTATGTCGAACGAAAGAGGGATACAAATATTATTCCTCATAAAAAAATCGTATTGATACACTTGTATAAATGTAAAATATAAAATCGAGAATTTTCACACAAAAACAACATTTGGTGTCTAATTTCATCGTAAAGACAAAATAAAGAGTTAAATTTTTTTTTTCCATGATAAAGTATATTACATTAGCTTTAATTTAAGATATATATAAAAGTGTCAGAGTTTCCGGAATAGTTAAGATAAAATAGTTAATTTTTTGTGAAAAATTTGTCTTTTAAATTCCCCACCTGTGGGCAGTTAAAGGTCAGATTTATAAAAATAATATACCAAATGAAAGGTAAACATCATACATCATAGACATCATGCATCTATAAAAAAATATTATAAAATATATTTATATTGATTTGGTCATTTTTAAAAAAGTTATAGCAGTTTTAAGTAATAAAATATTTCGAAAATTTGTGATTTTTAAATTTGTTATTTTTTTGGAGATTTCCCCCATTTACGGGAAACGAAGGAAATTTTTTCAATTTTTGAGGGTAATGTCTTTGATTAGATACGATTTGTGATCTTTTAACGTATCGTTGAAAGAAATCGGTTCGGTGAAAGCTGAGAAAAAGTGGTAACATTCACAAAAAAAAAAGAAAAACACATCATAGTAATACCAATACATTTTTAGCTTCGCATTGAAGTTAAAAAATAATTTCATGATGTAGAGGTAATTAAATAGAAAAACATTCTACGCTACCCATCGATATTAAAAATTTTATTTGAAGAATTGGTAAAACTATGATTTTATGTAACATTTTCTTGAGTCGGTAAGTAAAACAAAATTTCAATTTTATTTTTATTTTTAATACTAAATGACTAAATTAAATTAATACTAAAAAATTACTATAATTGTACATCATACATATAAAATCATCCAATGTGGTTCACTTTTATTTCGAAATCTTGCCAGGTGATCTATTGTATCCGATTTAGCCTAAAAAAATCAATACATTTTATTTATAATAAATATTTAAACACATTTATACAGTTAAATTGGCCAGCTTGTAAGACTAGTATACACTATATTTTTTTGTAATATACACTACCCAAATTTCCCGTAATAATACTTGGATAATATAATATTATCAATTACCTTTGAAGTCGGAAGTAAAACTTTTTTGTCATGTTTGGTTTAATTGTAATTTCCCGATTTATTGTTACTAGACCAACAAGTAAATATTTATAAAGGTTTTTGAAAATGATTTTATTATTAACTTTGTATTCTTAAATAGAAAAAGAAAATATTTAAGTATATAAGACGAAATGGAAACAATTGTAAGGAAGAGGACAGTACTTCACAATAAGTCTTTTCTGTTAAGTATTGGTTTATTGCACTTTGAGTGTATCCTTGTTTTGTACGTTTCATATTGTTTAATTATATATCTTTAATAATTACGTTTCTGTTATTATTGAACTTTTATCACTATAAGTTAAGGCATAAGGAGTGTCTCTTTAAAATACAGCTGGGTCTTTAAACGACACACGTCTTTTGGTAGTAGTCTAAAGAGTAGTTTGTGCTGGTAATAGTCAAGTACTCTCAGTGTTACAACTCTATTGGGTTACGGCTAACAGTCGATAGACATACCCCTTAGTACACCCAAAGAAAAACCTCAATCAAAATTGAAAGAGAAATTTTATCAAGGGTTTATGATAATGTTTTATTAATACGAACAAAATAACTATTCTTATAAATAATTATTGTTCAAGACAAGAAAAAAAAATATCATATTGATAAATATATCATTGATTCAATAGTAATGATATATTTATCAAATTGAACAATGAATTTATTATATAGATCGAGGTTTTTCTCTGGGTGTAGTGTTATAAGAGGAAAAGATCCTCAGTTAAATCGGTTAGAACCTAAAGGCTTTATTCATTTATAAAACTATAAAAGGATACGACATTAATATCATTTATAATGCAATCTATAAAGGATTCTAACGAAGGGAGTACTGACAGAAAAGGAATAAACACCGAGTACATCCTTTTAGTGGCAGGCAGAGGGAAGAAGTTTGTCAGAAGAAATGAACTAGGGGTTCTTAAACAAATAATACACAAACAAAAAGCTTAAAAAAGTACAAAATCAATATAAAATATATATACAACTAAAGATAACAATATATATGGGCCCTTGGTTGGAAAACTACAAAACCAAAAACACGCCCTGTGAGGTGTTCATTGGAATTGTAAAAACATTTTGGGAAAACATCGTGAATACCTACGAGTATACACGTGCGCATCTAAAACAGAGGAGAGTATTTTGGAATAGTAATAATTCAAACTAAAGTTTAAATTTTACACTTAATGCTGTATCTACATTGTATAAATAGTAACAATTAATGATTTTAATTAACATGTTAAAATCATTAATAAAGAAGAACATGTGAAGTTTATAATATTCAGTGACTCATTAAGTACGTCCAGCAGTATAAAAAAACAAATTTAATCCAAGAGATATTTTGTTAAACACAAAAAAAGCCTGTTAATAGTAAATTGCAACTGATAATAAACCCAAACGCAGCAAATAACAAAAAAATAGATCCAATTATTGAAAAAAATTAATAACATAATTATTTAAATGAAAAATAAAAAATATTATGTTCTTACGAAATTACCTAATTAATGTCACGAAAATAAAAGCCATATCACAATAATAACTAAAAATTAAATATAAGTCTAAAAGCTACACAAATTTTTGAGTAAATAACAGCTAATACATATTTTACTTGAAATACGTATTTGTCGTTTTTTACTGAGTTAGATGTACATTATGCCTATCAAACAGTTAAATTAACTAATTTTAATTATTAAAATTTAATTTATAATTAGACATATCGTTAATTTATAATGAATGAGATTCTAATTAAAACTACAAAAAATACTGTATTGTAACGAAATTGAATAGTTATTTCAGTTAATATTCATAATACTATAGTATTAGAAATATTAACACTTAATTATTCTGGTTAATTTATTAACTATCACAAATATGGGTAATTTAAAAATGTGCTTACACTCATATTTCTAAACGAATATAGAACATTAAAAATTATTAGAATGCTTTTAAATGGCTGATAATAATTTTTGATTTATAATCGTTAAAAATGTTGCATAAAATGAGATTTTAACCTAAATCACTTAGGTATACCAAAAAATGTATAATATAATACTTATGGTTTGAAATAAATTTTCAAATTTACTATGCTTACTATACACACTTACTATTCCATAATGCAGATTATCTCCTCCTAGCTCGAGTTTAATTTTTTTTAAGTTTGCTATCATTGGTATACAAGGACCGCACCATTCGGTGTAAATTTCTACAACTAAAATAGAAATTATGAATAAAAATTTTTAATTTTTAGAATTTAAAAAAAAACCATATAAGCCTGTTTTTTCTAATAACTTTTCCCAATCTTCATTATTGTTGATTTCTTCTTGTAAAGCAACTTGGCCTGATTTTTTTGCCATGCGACCTGCTCGTTTGTTTTTTGTTTTCTAAATAAGGATAAATGATCAATTAACATTAATTTAGATTAAATTTAAATAAGTTATTTTATTGAAAAAATATACGCTCTTAAATGTTTTACTATAAATAATTTACTTTAAAACAAAAATGTTGAATTTAAGATGTCGATAAAATAATAATTATAAAGTTATCAGTATAAAATGATACACATTATAATTAATAGCATATTTTTACAATATATTTAAAAAAAAATTATGACTTAATTAAAAGAACGGTAACACGAATACAAAAAAAAATGTTATAATAAAACCTACTAATTTTGACGTCATTTTTAATATATTCAAAGTTTTTAAAAAATTTAATTAATTTTTAGTGCAACATTAGGATTAAACGTGACTTGTTTCTTGTAATTTCAATGTTACAATAGTGATATTTCAAACATGGTAAACGACTATTAAGAGGTTTCTACTACTCAACTATCCAGATAGTTTAAAAGTTTGAATATTAATAGTTTTATAGCAAATATGAATAGTAAACAGTCTTTAACTAGAGTTTTAGTTTAACCACCACGCATTATAAATTTACAGGGTTGTGGTATTTATTATACCATTGTTATTCATAATTTAATCTTTAAGTAAATATAATAAAATTATAATATAGTGTCGTTAAGTTTTCTTATACATATATTTTTCAAGTTGTTACGTTAAATACATTTCTACATGTCATTTTAATAAAAATTATTATCATTCTTATTTATTGTGTTTCTAATAGATTATAATTTCTTTAAATAAATAAAATAACTTAGTTTTACTCAAGATTAATAATATTGGTATATATAAAAAAAAAATATTCAAAAATACATTTTGCAGATTTAACTGATAAATTCATTATCTAGATTAATGTGATAAGACATCCATTTCCTCAAAAAATATTGAACATTTTTAATTTTCCTAAAGAAAAGAATTGTTTGACTTAAAACATTTAACAGCAATATATAGCTAAATAATAAAAAAAAAACCTAAACTTTATTTATGAACTGGAAGATCTATTTTTAGTTTAATCGAATGATAGAAAATGTTTTAAAAAATGTTGGTCATTTAATCATTTTTTATTTTTATTGCTTGCTAAAGTTTTAAGGTTTTTGATAAATTTTGTTTTAATATTTACCCTTTAACGTACAGTAGCCCTTATTTTTTCATGATAGACATAAACAATTTTTGTTATCATAAATAAACATTGTCAACAATCATTAATAAATACTGATAATATTTTGTTGCTCATTGAAACAGATTATTGTTAACTTCGAAATTATGATAATCAAATTAATAATGAAATTCTATTTTAAATGCAAATCTTAATCAATTTAAAACGCAAACAATTAATCTAATAAAAAAAAACGGTAGCACAGTGGGGTCGCGGAATAGTGGAGACATCATTGCATAGTAGGGTCCAGTATAGATTTAATCTGACAGTGATTAAAATCACTATCATAAGAAACGCTTCGATGCAAATCTGTAGATAGTGTTTAATTATAAAAAATTGATGGATAATTGCAAAAGCAACATCAACTTCTATTAAAATAAAATACAAAACCCATAATTATCATACAAAAATAGTATATTTTTCAATATGGTAGCCATTTGCGTATAGAAGATAGATCGTCGGGACAAATTTTTTTTTTTCATTTTATAGTACATAAAATAAGCTTTAATTTTATATATGTTTAAAGGACGCAGTATTTCCGGAACATTTTCAAAAATTAAGTTGAAAAAGTTATTTTTTGTAAAAAAGTTACTATTTTAAATCCTCCCAGTGAGCAGAATAAGTGTTAGATTTTCAAAAAAAATTATATCAAATGAAAGGGAAATATCTAAGGTTTCAATACAAAAAAATATTATTTTTATTTGTTCATTTTTGAAAAAGTTATGGCAGTTTTAAGTACAAAAAACATCCCGATAAAATGTAATTTTTATCGCAAACATTACATTTTTTTTAGAATTTTCGACAGCCATTTGCACATAGAAGATAAGATGTCGGGACAAATTTTTTTTTTTCATTTGATAGTATATAACATAATCTTTGATTTAATATATGTTTAAAGGACGCAGTATTTCCGGAACATTTTCAAAAGTTCAATTGAAAAAGATCTATGTTTTTTACAATATTTTAAGTTTTGAACGCCCCCTATATAAGGGGAAATTGTCCAATTTTAATAAAAAGTATGTCAAATGAAAGATGTACTTATAATGTATTTAGAAAAAAAAAATTTGTGCTGATATATACATTTTTCAAAAAGTTATAGCATTTTTAAGTTGAAAATTTAAAATCGAAAATCGAAAATTTTAACACAAAAATAGTGTTTTTTTAACTACGGCAGCCGTTTAAATGTAGAAAAAAAAGTGTCGGGACAAATTTTTTTTTTTCATTTTGTAGTACATAAAATAAGCTTTAATTTGATATATGTTTAAAGGACGCAGTCTTTCCGGAACATTTTCAAAAATTAAGTTGAAAAAATTAATTTTTGTAAAAAAGTTGCCATTTTAAATCCCCCCCAATGAGCAGGTTAAGTGATAGATTTTCAAAAAAATGATATCAAATGAAAGGTAAATATCTAAGGTTTTAGTATAAAAAAAAATTATGTTGATTTGTTGATTTTTCAAAAAGTTATGGAAGTTTTAAGAAAAAAAAGTGAAAAAATTTCGAAAATTAAAGATTTTTAAATTTGTAATTTTTTTGGATATTTCCCCCATTTGCGGGGAACGAGGGAATTTTATTCAATTTTTAAGGATAATGTCTTCAACTAGATACGATTTGTGATCTTTTGACG